TTGTGTTGGTAAGTAATCAATACCCATCCATAATCAAGGCCTTATTCCAACGTCTGATTAGGATTATACGCACTGCAGGATACAGACTGTGTCGGGATTTTTGACCAAACTTCAACGTCAGCCTTAGCGTCATGATGTAACGTACACCACCTTTACAAGTGGACATTAAACTTTCATAACATTATAATGGTCATCTAACATTGCAGTTTATTGTTTTCCTCGTCACAGATACACAAGGGAGGACCCAAAAGCAAAATGATGTAATTTATTAAATACCACAAAGAAAGTAAAAACTGAAACCATGAACAAGACATTAGGGGAAAAACAACAATGGACCGTCAACCAGATGTCAAGAGCACAGGATCTACACTGCAAAAAGTGATGAAAAAGAAGTCAAAAATAGCTCAAACTTGGCCAAATGTATCTTTATTTAAGCACTTTTTTTCTGCCTTGAAACAAGATTTGCCAGTGGGACAAGCAAAATCATCTTTTTTTTTAAAATAAAAGAAATGTCTCCCTTGGAATGAGAAAATATGAGATGATTAAGCAACAGTTCTTGAAATGAAACTAAATGTCTCGTCTCGGCAGATTGTTTTAAGACAGTCAGAATGTACTCAAATTAAGATCAAAACCACTGAATTCGAGTGATTATTCCCTCATATATGATGGTGGCTGAGTGGTTAGCACTCTCGCTTCTCAGCAAGAAAGTCCTGGGTTCGAATCCCGGTCGGAACAGGGTCTTTCTGAGTGGAGTTTGCATGTTCTCCCCGTGTCTGCGAAGGTTTCCTCCGGGTGCTCCGGTTTCCCCTACCACTAAAAACATGTACAATAGGTATGAATGTAATGAGAGAGTGAATGGGTGGTGTTGATTGGAGCTGATGCGCCAGTGTGTTCGGTGACTCACTTCTGTCATCACCGTGTGTGGAATGATTGGAGCAATATCTGAACTCTAAACAAAGCGCTTTGGGTGACCTTGGTCTCTAAAATGCGCTATATAAATAAACATTACTTACTTACTTACTTACATTTTTGGCAGTGTAAAAATCAGGGCAGGGAAAATAATCAACGGGACAGACAGGAAGTCAAACTCAAACTCGACAAGAGAACAAATATAAATACAGTATATCAAAAATAAAACCAGGTGAAAGCAAAACAAGTCTGGCTCATAAATACGACTAAAGCTGTAAAGACTTTTCCTCCGTCCCCATGATTCATAGATATCATTCAGGAATAATCATGTGGCTTTTTTTGCACCGCACTTTGCCGACTGGGAAATGGCCCCAACCTTTTACCACATCTGCACACTCATTATACTGATGCTTATTGCAGACTATTGCCTATTGTCTTTCCCTGTGTCCAGCATTTTTTTTTTTTTTCTAGACTCCACTCTTCCTCCATGAGATAAGGAAACTTCATTACTTCTCCAGCGTGTGCTCGGTAATTACAAGTACAGGAGGAGAGGGAAAGTGGTGGGCTGTTCATATCATCTCTATCCATTTGGTTCTGAACTTAACAAGCGTGCAAATCTGGACAGCCTAATAAGATTCGCCAAAGCACATCGACGGATTATGTAATTAAAATGGGACCCAATTGATTTTCCGTGCTTCTTTTCATCCCAAAAGAGAAAGACTGAGCGAGGACAGTCATTGTGCCAGGTCCACACTTAGTCACAATTAGAAATAAACCAGATCTGGAACGAGCTGAACGAAATGGCTCTAAACACGGATTAAACAAATGAACTATGGACTGGTAGAATTAACTTAAGACCACTTTTAGCCAGATGCAAATGCGATTCAATTCAGAGAACATTTTAGGGGGAAAAAAACCTGTTGGAACTAGCTTTTTCCATAGCTTTTTCAGTCATGTTGAAGAGAAATTATTATGGATCCATTTTGAATCAAGAGATCAGGACAACTACAACTGAAGTCTTTTATAATCTGAAGGAAATAACTTGAGCCATTAAAATACACACTCCCCTCAGATTAATCAGTTCTTCCCACAAAGTAGAGTCCCAATTTCTGCAGATTTGAAACGACATTTTGATGAAAAAACTGTTCAGGTGGATGCATTTCTATCAGACACTTAATATTAAACTTATATGTTAATGAAGACACATTGCTAGTGCTGTGTATCAGACATGTGACATCAATGAAGAGGCCACATTATTACTATGTTTAGACCAGGCATGTCAAACTCAGGCCCCTGCGCCAAATCCAGCCCGCAAGATCACTTTTAGTGGCCCCAGAGACGATTTTCAATTATCTTTATCACAGTAACTTGCAGCATTGATGGTTATGGTAAAGGGCTACTATGGGATGTTATACTTCATTTTAAAGCTTAGTTACTCAGGAAAACAACCATAATATTTAATCTGTTCAAACAAAAGTTTTTTTTTTTTTTACTATCAACCTCTGAATTTCTCCTTTTCACACCAAAATATACACAAAAAAAAATGTAAAAAATAAATAAAAAAAACTTCTGGTCTCAACTTGGTCTCAACTTGGGTATCTTTTTTAAACTTGGCCCCCAATCAAAATGAGTCTGATATCCCTGTTTTAGAAGAACCGTCTTCAAAATACATGAATTTATTTTCCCTCGCACAGTGAAGGGTCAGTTTACTACAGCTATTTAATGATATAGAGTTAATGATGACTGATTATTTATTGTTTATTCCTGGATAATTAGACTTTCAATAGTTATATGAAACTTATATTTAGATGTTTAGATTGTTTTGCTGTGGGACTTGGTCTTTTACAGGACTCGGAGCTCCAAGCCCATTTGAGTGCAGTAATTAGAACTGGTGGCAATGTCAACATCTCTCCAATCTTCCGAGCCAGTCCAGTCAGCAGCGGTTACGCCTGACTGCGCTTCATCAAGAATCGGTTTCCCACTAAAAGTCATTATCTAGAGCAATGGTTCTCAAACAGGGGTCCGTCACACATGATGGACATTCTTTCTTTGCAGACCTTTTTGATTGAGCTTGTCCTGCCAAGACCAGGTTTGGTAAGGTTATCAGTGTAACGTGTTCATTTCTGTCTATTTATGATCTATTTGTATTTTTTTTATATCAATCTCTGAGAATATATCCATCAAAAAAACCTTTAGGAATGTAAAACAAAAGCTGGTATGAATCTTAAAACTCTATACTCAAAGAGGCCGGCTTGCTTACTCTCTGTTTAGGTCAATACGATGCTACCACATGCCTTTAGTTCAGTTTCAGCGAGCGCATCATCGCAGCCTTGTGAAAAAATGATTAAGTCTTCCTTGATCACTGAAATAGTCCTGACCTTACACGGATTTTCACTCTGGGCCTGTTCTAACTTTGTGTTTTACTCGTCAAATATTCATGCCAGCGCATACCTTATGAACGCCTGCAAGATTTATGGAGTTACGTGTGCAGATGAACGCTGTGCTACAAAGGGGAGGGGAAACCAATCACAGCACAGGTGGTTTTGAACAGCCAACTTTGAGAACGTTTATGAAAAATAATACCACATTCAACAATATTGTATGTGCAAAAAATGCTTCACATTAAAAATCAATATGTTTGTAGTTTCTTGCAAATATTGTGATAATTCATATAGAGTTCATTTCAACTTTCTCCATATGCCTCAATTCATAAGTACCCCATAAACAATATTATTATGTCATGTGCACAAAGGTTGATAAGGAAAATCTTAAAATGGGATTAAATGTTGTCCACACTTGACCTAGTGAGTGATGTGACACTGCATGCTTCACATTTGAAATGCTTTGCGGTGTCATGTTGTTTTAAGAAATCCACCTCAACTTGGTTTTTCCAGATGTCCAAAGTTTGACCGTGTCATGGTGCTGTGGTCGTGACACTGAGCAGCAGGTGTGTGGAGGTGGTAAACTCTCTCGATTGAATCCAGCCTCTCATACAGATGCATTATTTTCTTCTACCAATTTCACTACTACAGTTTCGCTGGGGACAATGACAGAAGACAAAAGAGACTATCACCAAAGAACCTTCTTCATGTTAAACAGAGTGGCAGCTTCATAATGGCTTGAACTGGAGTTAGACAACTATTTGGTATATAGGCAACATTTCAAGGTAAAGTATGCTGGTATCTTCTTACTGAGTGTCAAACAGTTGAGGATGAGATTGATATATGATCATGCATGTCATTCATCTGTAATTAAGTAAATTCTTAAATCATGTGCAATGTGCAATACTGCAACTTCAGAATGTCACAGAACAATGTCACTTTACTTATATACTTTTTATCCTGCACTATTTAACTGTACAGTATATCACTGCACTACTACATATATATTTTTTGACTGGTATTGAAGCATTTTCAGCATCTACAGCTAGTTAACATAGCTACTACTTATTTGTATATAGTGTATATATTGTGTGTCCTCCCTGTGTGCTCTTACTACTGTCCTATATGTGCGATCAAAATTTTCCCACTGTGGGACGAATAAAGGATTTCTTATCTTATCTTATCTTATCAACGATAAAGTCACATTTTGGATTCTAAAATTGATTCATGATCGCACCCTCACCTGGTCATGAGTGTTGGAGTGTGGATAAAAGTGGTCGGAATGAGTGTCCACAATGAGTGCTGGGTGACACCAATACCTCAGTCACATAGTAGGAGCTCAGAGTAGAGTTGCTGCTCCTCGTTATGGGCAGCCAAGACAGCCTGACCTGGAACACTGGATGAAACCCCAAGATGTATGAACACACACCTTATACTGTGAGAAACCCAAAACTTTGCAAAAACTCATAATCAGCAACTCATTCCATTTGTATATTATGCAGCTATATTCAAAAGCCAAAACCAGTCACGTGGTTTTACAAACGGTCGCTGTATTTTTTTGTTTTTTTTGTGACTCACAGCACCATCTGTCCATCTGATCCACATGGACTATACATGCAGTGTTCAGTTGTACTTGTACTCCCATCATCCCTCCTCTCCTGTCTGCCGCGCATCCACTGAGCTCTCTCCTCTTCATCTTCCTCTCAGCTGATGATGACGTTGCGACGCGCGCCCATCTGCGTGCTGTGTGTGGTGCGAGGTTGATGCGCATGTCTCTATCTGTGACTTTTTTTCCCCCCATCCAACCTGGGGGCACGCGTTTGGAGGTTGGAGGAGGCATATGTGTGCACGGTATAGGGCACAACCATTTCACACCTTGGATACGTAATGAGCCGAGGAGGAATAATAATAATAATAATAACTCCTTTGGCCGTATAGGCAGCGTGCGCCTCTAGACCAATCAGGAAAGCCCTATTTAGCGTAACTCAGCCTAAATATGTGTAGAAGACAGGCATTTATCTCCACGCTCTATATACAGTAGACTAGATTCGCTGCGCAGTGGAAGAAAGAGCCCAGAAGGAAAGAAGAAGAAGGAGGCGGTGGAGCAAAGAGGGGAGCGCTGATTCACTGCTCAGCACGCATGAGGGAGAGACAAGGAGCGACCGGCGATCTCCAACCTTAAAAATACTAACCCTCCCTCCTCCCGTCCCCCCCTCTGCCTCCCCCCTTTCTCCGTCATTGACAGCTCTGCGACCGGGTCAGTCCGTGCGTCCGAGGAGGAGAGGCGAGGAGAGGAGAGCGCGTTTTTGGACCACTTCAACCCGATCTTTCATCACTGGACACAGCACACTGGAGCGCGCAAATACGACGCGTCTGTGGATATTTTTTGGTATTGTTGTTGGCTTGACTCAGTGCAAAGTGAGGCGCAATTAAAAACACGCGAGGTGGATAGGGGGGATCAAGCACACCGCAAATCCAGGTATGTTTATAGCTACATCAATGGGACAAGCCACGGCATACCTTCACATAATGCTTATAATGACAGCGCGTTGTTGACGCACATGTTGGCTCTGCGTGAGTGATGTGGCTGTAGGTGATGTCAGCCCGTGTAGCCTTTGCAATCTGCTCCCACTCGGTCCCTATTCCCATTCCCTCCTGATCTATTGGCTCAAATGGTTTCGTGATAGCGTCTAAATGGGTGTGTCGTTACAATAATTGCCACAGTGGAGGCAGTTTTAATCATTATTAGCCCACCTCTCATAAAGAAACGCGATGCACACATATATATATAGGCAATATTGCACTGGCTGCATGTGTCCACTGTTGCCATGTCGTAAAATGTTCTTTCCCTGAAGTGACATGTTAATTTTGTATGTGCTAAGACTCAAGTGGGCCTGTATAAGTTGTCAAAAAGAAAAAAAAAGGGGGGGTTGTGTATCTGAACACCAAAAGGGATTCCCCCCCCCCCAATAGTTTGCACTGACAGACAGCCCTGACTGGAGAAACTACTGGCCATGTTGTGCGATGATTAATCTGGAACAGCTGAAGCCAAAGCAGTGCTGAGCGCATGTTTACGCCCAGCTCAAATGCCCTCCTTAAACCGGACCCCCCTTCCCAAAATAGTGGACAGGAAAAAGGAGACCCGTGAGCAGCCTGCACCCCATCTCCAAGCAAACCTCCTCACACTCTATGGACGTGCAGCAATCTTATATGAGGGGGTGTAATGGGATTGGTCTAATCACTGTAATCCATAAAGAATTTACATAAGAAATATATGAATAGTTTATGTGAATGTATTAGCTAAATCTCAATTTGCATGAAATGTGACACAGCAGCAGATTTGGAGAGTGATTCAACGTTTTGGTAAAGTCTTATTTCTTTGTATTAAGTTAGTGTGAGGCCATCATGTGTCCAATAACACATGAGTCAAAGCTGGTTTAATTTTGACAACACACCTTTTTTGTGTGTGTGCATGTTTGGCCTCTATCACATCTTCAGATCGTCTTCCTTAGACAGTGCAGTGAAAATAAGAGTGTTCTATAGTGTCCACATGTATTATTTCAACTCTTTCGATCAGCCTGTACGGACGGAAAAGTGAGAAAGACCGGACCACCCTCACTCAGCAAATTATAGCTCTCTGCCCAAGCGACAAATTGTGACTCACATGCAAAAGACAGCATGCTTTGCTCTGATTTGTTCCCAGCATTCTACTTTTACGACACTCTTTCTGTTGGGAATAAGCAAAACGCTTGTAAAGAGTTTTAGATGGTCCTGCATGTGATAATGAAGCCAACGTAAACCTATATGTTTTTCTTGCTGGGTTGGTAAATGTATTGGCTCTCTAACAATACTTTTTAATTTCCCCAAACCTTCCATAATTGTTTGCAGTGGAAGCCAGATCCCTCTTTATTTTACCAAACACTTATAACACTATCTTCCCGCTGCTTTGATGAATAGCCATATCCGTAATTGCTGCTTCCCCTCGACAACACAGCCCCAGTTTGAGAGAAGTGCTGTGCCAAACCACAAAAGCCTCAAAATAATTTTCTTTCTGATTTATATTTCTCCAAAACACATTTTTCTTTTTTTATAACAAACTCCTTTCTTTAGTTTAGTTTAGTTTTTTTAGTTTTTTTTTGCTGAGAGCTCTTGGTTTCAGGTGATGCAGAGGCTGTTGCTATGGTAACAGGAGTTGTGGAAAAGGTGAACAACTTTTTCTGCACATTTTGAGAAGAAAGTGGTTTTGTTTTAAGCTGTTTGTCTAAAGTTCCCCCTCGATGAACATATTGCTGTTTAAATTTGTCGTTTGTATTGGGATTAGACCATAAAGCACTGAAGATGGGAATGAGAGCAGAAGATGAAGGGGACAAAATGCAACTAACCCCAAACAAATTACACAATGTTATGTTTTTACAAGAACTGAACGTTTTCAGTTTCAGGTTGATGTCAGATTCAAAGTTGAGATTCCACTGTAGAGGTCTGTTTATACACTATTTAAGTCAAACCTACTGTATTGTCTTTTCTAATCTTCTGCAAATTAAAAAAAAACAGTGTATAAGAAAAGAACTGTCCCATATTTCTTCTTTAATGACTAGATTGTAGATTATAATCGCATAATATTTACATTTGATTTATTTTTTTATTATGAAAATATTCCAGATTATAGCAAAACTGTTACCATTACCACAGTGAATGTAGCATTTTGAATATGGTGTGTGAGACAATGGTGATTGGTTGGTGATGATCTGAAGGTCCTCTGATGCCACCAGGGCAGCTGTGGCTGTGCCTACAATTACAAATTTACCACCACCATTCTAAGAGATTATATACCTATTCATACTTATTATAAAATATATAATACTTAGTTATTTAATACTTATTATACGGCTCCTCACAGCAGCAGGAGAACGCTCCATTGATTTGAATGTAATTTCAAAACGTTCTACCGGTCATTATTTTCTATAACGGACCTCTCAAAACAATAATGACCGCTGCCCATGGCAACGCTCTCTCTGCTTGTCTTTCAAATGCGTGGATAACTCCGCAAGTAGTTCCGGCCACTCCTGAGCTAGCCACGCTCAATCAACACACTTAAATGTTAATCGGAGAATACTTATACATATACATTCTTCACACACGTGCACGGAAATTTTCAGAATTTTCTGGTCTTGTCTTTATACAAAAATACTATTTCTCTGCGTCAAAAAGCGATCGTGAAAAACCCGGAAGTAGTTCTGGCCGCTCAATAAACGCAAATGCCAATCAATCAACGCAATGAAATGTTAATCGGAGAGTAATTTATACATATCCAGTCTTAATACAAGTGCACGGAAGTTTTCAGAATTTTCCGTTTACGTTTTCATGACAAAAACACTGATGTAATGCGAGAAAAGGCGATCCCGAAAAACCCGGAAGTAGATACCGGCACATTTTAAGATACCGGCACATTTTCGGACACATTTGCAGAGGATCGAATTATGGATTTAGGTTAGGTTTATGTATGGGTCACTCACCGCTGATGTTCAGAATTCTTTGTTCAGTTTTCATGCAGTTCCAGAGAGTTCTAGTTTGGAAGTTGCCAGCCTAACTGTTGCCCGCGGTTGCCGAGCAACGGGAAAACTTTTTGGGACTACTTTATTTGTTGTCATTAAATAAACTTTTGGCATTCATAAAAGTGATCTGAAGTTTATTTTGTGTGTTAAGTTGGTACAAAGCAGTATAATAAGCGGGATAATGTATAGCCTACAGGTCATTATCGGAAAATAAGTACCTTCAGGGCGGAAGCCCTGTCGGTACTTATTTTCCGATAATGACCTGTAGGCTATACATTATCCCTTACTTATATACTATTAGACTTGATTTGCACGGCCATAAGAATCATTTGCAATCTTATGTTATATTATTTATACACAAATATAGTCATTGTGTTTTCATCTAAATGGAACTTCACCGGGCCCTGCTCCGTGACAGTCGCTCCTCAGTGCAGACTTACTGAGCATTAATCACGGCAGAAGCTGCAGTGTCATTTTAAGAGCTCTCCCAGTTACAGTGGAAGCCGAACGCCCATAATTGGGTCAGCGGATGATTGATAGGAGAGCTGATTGACAGGGTGATTGAGCGTTTCACTGTAAAATCTTTTAACAGACACAATTCTCTGGACCAATAATGTAAATCTCATTAAAATAAATGCATTGAGGCACTGACAGCCTCCTCAGGTGTACCATCCCACGAGAATATTGATTTTCTTTCTCCGCACAAATTGCGCTGGTTGCTGTTTGGAGATGGGTACTGGGCAGTGGTGTTTGTATGCTAGTACCTCCGCTAAAGCTAAGAGCCCTAAATGAGCAATTATACAAGGCTATTGGCTTACTAATTATAGTCCCAGGACAGTACTTTGCAATTCTAATCTGGCTTTGTCAATTGGGGAGTATAGTTTCAAAGACTGAAATGAAGAAAAGTGACTTAAGTGGAACAGAAGTTATAATAGTATATTGAAAATCTGGCAAAGTGAAAAGATGTGTCCTCTGCAAAATTATACTAACACTGTCTAATGACTGCATTTATAGACCATTATCAAGTATGACTACATATGATTAAAATAAACACATTATCTACTCCTGTGTTCTACCTTCTTTTAATGAACCTTCAAGACAAATGACTGGGGGAAAAAAATCCCTGCTCTATGCACAAGTGTGGAAAAACAAACATAAACAAATGCTTTCAGTTAATGGGGATTTCACCCTTGGCCCAAATCTTTTCCGATAATCGAGCAACAATGGAAGTTTTTTAGAGATACATTCTGTGGTAGATCGCTTTACATTATCTCCTTCACAATCACAGTCTTTCATGACCTGATTGTCAGAATATTCTTTAGCAAAGCAACGGAATTGTTTCCTTTTTTGTTTTTTGGAAAGATTTTTTTCTTTCTTGTCTTTGGGGCATCTTTTCTGATCAGTGGTGTATTTATCCCCTGAACCCCATCCAGATAAGTACATGTATAGACCTTGCATGTCACGTCAGACTCAAAAACTCAACCCATTCTCTCTCCCGCTGCTTCCTGATTGGAGGAAATTAATTAAAATACTTGGGGCCCTTCGTCTTTGCTTTTACAAATCTTACTGGTTGAAGTGGTGCCAAGCAGTAGAACTATTTTGAATATATTAATCTAGAAAATTATGTAAAAGTAATATAACTGTATCTCATGGTCAGAAATATACAGTACATTGGGTCCTATACATCAGTCACATAACTTTATACAGTTTTGGTTCAATCCAAAGTGTAAACTCATTTTGTTTATGTAAATCTACCAGACAAGAAGGTCAAAAGTACCTTCATAATGTAATAATATTTATAACCAAAAAAGGTCTTTTAATTCTTCCACCAAAATAAGTTTGACACGACTGGGTTAGGCCCGTACGGCATACAACATCAACATCATTTTATTTCCAGCCAACTCCACACTTTACACATAAATATAGCATCTAGCTGAAATAATACTGTCACTATGGCGATACGTTCTTATGTAAGTAAAAGCACGCTCCTCTCTCCTCCCATTAGCTGCTGTCACTCACATATGTGCCTTTCGTGGGGTTCTCTCACAGGGATCGAGTACTGGCCCCGCTCCATATCCAGAGCTGCTGAGTCGGCTGAATTTAAGTTTCTTGTCTCCTGCTTGTGTCAACCACTTTTCTGTAACGTATAGTGACCTCCTCAAATATCAAAATCCTGTTTGATAATAATCCGACTAAAACAATTATGAGAACCGGTTTGATTCCTGAAACCTGCTTGTCTGTCCGGTATTCGCTCCTGTATATAGATTTGTTCAAACTTCACATAATTTTTGGTCAATGATAGTTGCAAGGTTGAATTGGATGACCTTAAATACTTCATATTTTCCGAAAATTATGAAAAACGAACCAGATTTGGGAATCTATATTTCATTTTTGTCCCCCTGCATGAATAGAATGAAAATATACGTTTCTAATGTTGATGAATGATGAAAGATTTTATAATTTATCAGAACAAACTGCCCGGTAATTTGCCTCAGTGCTCTCCCAGAATCCAACGGCCAAAAATAACTAAGCAAATCACGACAACATTTTGTGTGCCAGTATTCCTTTTTTTAGCAATGTTTTTTTGCTGCCAGAAAACACATTTTTTCAGCTCTTGACAAGTACCTGTTGTTGGCACTATAGGGCTAGGATTTGTTTATTGTCAAACCGAAGCTAACCACTATTCTATGCTCAAAAAAAATCAATGAAGCTACGTTAATTCATTCATTCATTTTAATCCATATTGTTGACAGCAGTGAGTGGCATAACCCAACTGAAAATCCCCTGGGTTTGAACTAACCAAACTATTTAAATTCATAGGAAAATGTATAGAAAAAAGCATGTTATTTTACTATGATTCTTCTTAACTCTACTACTATACATAAGATGAGCAAAGTGCCATTGTTTCAACATCTAAGAGAAAAGAGAGATCCCTTAAGGACAAATTGAAGCTTGAATGATTTGGTTTGACAGTTTCATGGCTCTGCACATAGATGAATGAATATAGTATTTGATCACAGCAGCGCAGGATCTTACGCCACAGTTTACCAACATCTCTCTGGGACAATAATACCTTGTCACTTACAATACAGTCTTCTCCTGGAGTCATTATGTGCCACTGTCAAACTCACTGCATAGAAGTGTGTATTGAACGGGTGATCAACGCTGAACCTGATTTGAACTGATGAATCTCCATGTAATACAGTATTTAACTTTTCTAAAAATGGCTGGGTTGTACAGTGTAAGAAGTCACTAATGTAAGGCTTTTACCCAAAGTGCTATAAAGTGTTGATCATTGGAGAGAGGAGAGCCATCTTTAATCAGGCCCGAACACGAGAAAGCACTTTTAGGAATGAGGGAAACATGCAGCAATGTGGAAGACTGTACGCCACATCAGGAAAAAAAAGTGAATGAGGAAAATGCAGGAAACTCATCCCAAGGCCGCAGCTGACAAGGTTCAACTTTGGGTTAGGTTTAAAAGGTGCACTTTTTAGGGATTTATGTATCTCCAGCATAAATCCAGCGTCTAATGTGTTGGAACAGCTCACATCTCTCTTCTGGATGTGGCCGTGCTCTCATGCCTCGATCGCCCCTGGGTTCAGCTGTTAGCTTCAGACGCATTGTCAGCTCGTATCTCATAAGAAACACTGGAGACGTTTATGAACTGGCCACTGTGAAACTGCTCACTGTCTTTGGTAGACTCTCTAAGATCATTTAGGCTGGTATGAAGACACGAGACTATCCAATTATTATTATTATTGTAATTTTTATTATACAGAGAAGACATTTCATGCAGCAAAATGTATCAATTTGCTCAATCGTTGCAGAAAAATACATTCAAGTTTGACATGTGTAGTTTACAATCTACTTTTGCCATCAACCATTCTGGTCTGTATTTACTGAAAACCAGCCTGAAATTCTGACAAAATTAAATATGTATGTATGACACTGTAAAATCAAAATGAGCTTCCAAAAATATCCCTGGAAGAATAATTTATACATATCTTGGTTTTTTTATTGATTCAGAGATTTTAAGGCTGGCGTATCAAACTTTTTGTTTTCATAAATAATACATTTTGTTTGTTCCAACAGTAAGAGTCTTGTGAAAAGTAAAATGTTGTGAACAAATCAGACCACTACAAGGTGTGTTCATCTCAGAAAAATGAAACATAGTGACGGATCCAAATTGTTTTGAGAGCAAGCAGCCGTACAGTAGATGGATTATATTACATAGTTACATACATAGATGCATTGGTTAGCAATTTAAAGGTAAAATAAGGACTTCATTCCAGAAATGAATATTGATTTAGATAAACTCTGAAACAGCTGTAACATTCCCATTGATTGAGGAGAGAGATGTTATTTATATGAAGTGTGCAGTCTTTGAACACGTGTATCATCAGCTCTACTTGGCCTGGTTCTGCCTTATTTGTCTTCCCTCCTCCAGAGAAGCACAAGCTACTACTGTGTGCGTTCAAATGACATGTTCCTCCTGCGTGCTCCTTTTGTTCCAACTGAAATGAGAAAACTGCTCCTTCTTCTTGGAATTTTCTTTAATGCGTTAACTACAAATGCCTTTAACTAAAGGCTTTTAAAAAATGTACATATTTGTTTGACAAGTCCTAACATCATGGCCAGGTCAACCTTAAAAACAGATTTGAATCTGTGTGTGTGTGTTTGCCCCATTGTTCATTGTTTTTGTTGTGCTGTATTTGTTGCCATTGCAAGATGTTGGACAGTGCCTCGTTTGATAGCAGGTCTGTGCTGCTGAGCTCTGTTTATTACCTCAGAGTATTCAGACAATTGTCCTCAAATCCCCATTATTAGACACACATCTGGAAGGAAAAGAAACTCCTGAATGAGAATTGAACCTGCAGGCTGAGGTTTTATTAATCTAATGTTCACACCTTATTCACAGAGTGAGAGTTAATTTCCGATCTGCTTCACAAAGATAACATAAAGCTCCCCCAGTGATGTTGTTTGTGAAGTCATAGGGACAATTTGTGAGGAAGCAAAGCAGTTTTATTCACTGTCTAATGACAGAGAAGAATATCCATTACAGTTTTGCAATATTACAGTCTTAGAAGTCAAGATTTGTCTCTATTATGGGTGGGGTTAATCTGAGGGTTAATCTGATGGAATTGGATTTATTTAATTAAACACATGCATACATTTGTTAGCAACGTACTATCCTTGTCATAATTATCTAATAGGACATCTTTTCAATTCATTCCAATTAAAACCTTATCCCAAACCCTAATCATAACCCATTTTTGACTCCGATAAAAAAAAGAAAAACAAAAAAAGAGTATTTCCCTCTGGACAGAAAACCAAGATTTTAGCCAGTGCTATCTAATTTTTCCAAAAGACAATGATGAAATGGGTTTGTCAATTGCAACAAATATATGACCTGAATTGATGTATTATGAATTATTTGTGAGAAGTTCATTTACACATTTCTGTAAAGCAGAACATTGTCTCACCCTTGTGTTTTCTATGTTGTGTGTTGCAGTTGGTGGTGGAGGACCTCACAGCCCAGTGCTGGATCCCATTGGGGACTGACAGAGTGGTTTGGGCCCGTGAGACGCCGAAGGGTGCATGGAGGGTTCCCGGAGTTGGGGTGGGGGTTCCGCAGCCTGGCTCTGCTTAAGCCTAGTGTCTGTGGCCGTATCCTTAGTGTGCACTGAGGCCAAGACCACCCCTAGTCCACTGACTTCCATGAAAAATGACACTTGTGAGGTTGATTCCAAGTGCCACAAGGGCATCATCCTACCCATTTGGTACCCAGAGGACCCTTCCATGGGAGACAAAATTGCAAGGGTCATAGTCTATTTTGTGGCAATGATTTACATGTTCTTGGGCGTCTCCATTATTGCTGATCGGTTCATGGCTGCCATTGAAGTCATCACATCCCAAGAAAAGGAAATTGTCATCAAAAGACCCAATGGAGAGACGACCACAACAACTATTCGAGTTTGGAACGAGACAGTGTCCAATCTGACCCTTATGGCTTTAGGCTCATCTGCCCCGGAGATCTTGCTGTCTGTGATTGAAGTTTGCGGACATGGCTTTAAAGCTGGGGTTCTTGGACCAGCCACAATTGTTGGCAGTGCTGCTTTCAACATGTTTGTGATCATCGGCCTGTGCGTCTCAGTCATTCCTCAAGGCGAGGTCAGAAAAGTGAAGCATCTTCGGGTGTTCTTCATCACTGCAGGTTGGAGTGTTTTTGCATACATCTGGCTATACATAATCCTGGCTGTCATAACTCCTAATGAAGTTCAAGTTTGGGAAGGCCTCCTAACTCTTGCCTTCTTTCCCATTTGTGTGCTTCTTGCTTGGATCGCTGACCGCCGCCTACTCTTCTATAAGTTCATGCACAAGAAATACCGCACTGACAAGCACAGGGGAGTCATCATTGAGACAGAGACAGAGCGCTCCAAAGGCATTGAAATGGATGGAAAGCTGGTCAATTCTCATTTTATGGATGGCAGCGCTACTAGTAATCTCATGGGTTTGATGGAAGGCAAAGAAGTTGATGAATCTAGACGAGACATGATCCGTATTTTGAAAGATCTTAAGCAAAAACATCCAGAGAAAGAGCTGGATCAACTGGTTGAGATGGCTAACTACTATGCCTTGTCACACCAACAAAAAAGCAGGGCCTTCTATCGAATCCAAGCTACGCGCATGATGACCGGTGCTGGTAATATCTTGAAAAAACATGTAACAGAACAAGCCAGAAAATGCACGAGTATTCAAGAGATCCACGTTGAAGAGCCGGAAGAGTATGTATCAAGAATTGCATTTGAGCCCGCCGTCTATCAGTGCTTTGAAAACTGTGGTGCAGCAATCTTGACGATTACCAGAAAGGGTGGAGATGTTGACAAAACTTTATTGGTTGATTACAAGACTGAAGATGGCTCTGCAAATGCCGGAGCTGACTACGAGTTCACAGAGGGGACAGTAATGTTCAAACCGGGCGAAATAATAAAAGAAATCAGCGTTGGCATCATTGACGATGACATCTTTGAAGAAGACGAGCATTTCTTTGTGCGTTTAAACAATCTGCGAGTCCTTGAAACAGAGGATGAAGTACTGTCCGCCAATAGTCTCCTGTATCCAAAAGCAATGCTGGGGTTTCCCACCGTGGCCACTGTAACCATTTTAGACGATGACCACTCTGGCATCTTTACATTTGAGAGCGGTTTGGTGCATGTGAGTGAGGGCATAGGCATTATGGAGGTCAAGGTACTCAGGACATCTGGAGCCAGGGGGACAATCATTGTGCCTTTTCGCACCATTGAGGGACTGGCCAAAGGAGGAGGCGAGGACTTCGAAGACACGTACGGAGAGTTGGAGTTCAAGAATGACGAAACCTGGTAAGACAAATGTTTGTATTCACTATTTTTGGCTGATTTTGAAATTTGGCATCGCATTTGCTCCTAATTGAATTCACTTGGAGCCAGACCTGTGCAAACTCTTCCCATGCGTGAGGAGATAGTTCCGCCTGTGTCCTTATAATAACATTTGACCTTGTATACATTAAGAAACTCCAATATCATTACGACAAGCTCAGGAGCTATGATTTTGATATACTTTAAAACAGACTTGAAAACGACTTATTTGTAATTGTATGTGTTGTTTTCTATTTTGAAAGAATTGCCGTCCAATTACTTCAAACATATTTTATTGATATTTATGTCCAAATAATCTGTGTTACATGTTGTGGTGGTTTCGGTGTTTGCTATCTCTCTGTGATTCACCTGTTGCAAAGTGATATAGAAACATAAATAGCGCTTCAAAGCCTTGCCTGACATGGCTGACTTGAATAACATCTGCTTTGATACAGAGTTTCTTGCCACTTGACATCATTTAACCTGAACATACTTTGGTAAACTTTCATCTGATATTTGAGCCTGTCATATAGTCAGCCCGTTTCATGTTTAAGCAGTGAGAGGGCGGAGAGTGCACTCGGGTTGCCCTTGTTTTGGTGTCATAATATTTCCTTTTCATTTGTGACTCCGAGTGGCAGTTAAGAGACTGTCTCATGCAACGGGGATTTGTCACTCAAGTTTGAAAGTCCTTAATTTACCCTCCTCAACGTCCCGCTGTAATTCTCCACGTCTTGTTTGTTTTTCAAATGGTAAATTTGCTTTCACCATGTTATGTGTTTTCATGGTTTGTCGACTATATTGGAACAATGATTTAATATTGAACAATATGAGAATGAAACAAATTATCGTTTTCCTCATGCCGTGCAGCCCTAGTCATAAATCAGAAAATAATTACTCACTTGGTTCTTGCTTAAAGCTGGGGTACCTAACTTATTTTTCTTCTGTTTGTCCCAACAGAAAGAATTTTGTAAAGTACAATGTAGTTGACAAATTAGACTACTTTATGCTGTCTTTATCTTATTAGATAACTTTTGATCTTTTGCATACTTAGAAATAGCTGTTTTTCTATTTGGAGCTATTGGCCTAGAGCTGATTGGCTGAGTGAGTGGGGTCCTCACGTTTCTGTCGACGTAAAAGCGAATTCAATCAAACAATACATGCATTTGAAAACTATAGTGATAGAACTCAAGCAAGGAACGAGTTAAATGGACTTTAATTGCGTAGTTCAGTTTTTTGTGGTTTGAAAGTTGAGTGTACTCCAGATTGTATTTTTTCATATTTTACTGTGCTACTGGATGTCTATATATTAGTGTTATCATTTATATATAAAGAAAAAACAAAATAATTACGTTTTCATGCATGCGCAGTGAAATTCAGTCTATAAAAGTAATTTGATTCATACAACCAGTGACTATGGCTCTATGGAGGGTTCCCAGGCGAGAGGACCAGAGGGGGGCCTAAGAGTCGGGCCGATCAGCATGCTCCTGGGGCCCACTGCTTCTCCGGGACACTTGATTTATGTGAACAACGCTTTCGGGGCCAAGTCTGAAGGGAGAGAAGAGAAGAGATGTGAAGAAAATACTATTATTAAGATACCGCTGTGATGTTGTTGAGAAAGAATCCAGCTCTATTGATCTAGCTTTGTGAGGCAGTGTGTGGTGTTGCTACAGAGACTGAATGGGGCGTGTGTGAATGGTCGAGCAGTGCATTCTTACAAAAAAAAAAAAGAGATCTGAGAGAAGATTTGGGGCGTGTGATCAAATAATTATCACGTGTGAAGTTTTCAATTGAACATTGGGGTGTGAGTGCGATAGATTATACAGACAGGCCAATTTTCTCTCATCTTGACAGCCGCGCCGACAGGGACATTTTCTAGTGGAGTCTTATAAGCTATTTTTCAATATTTTTTTCTCCCTGAAAGAGCAGAATTTCAAGTATATTCTTCTGTAAGTAGGGTCATAGTCGGCAGCGCTTGGCTTGTCGATTTAGCATACTGGAGCCATACGCACCTGACGCGACCCCTTAATTTCAAACATGGAAGAATAATGATGAAAACACAGACGGCAAAACAAAGAAACAAATAAAACGCGGTGTTTTGCATTTCAAATCAAACTCGTTTCTCACTTTGTTGTTCCCTCGCCTTGTGCTGCGGCTGACTGTCGATCTGCACTGACGGCCATGGCGACCACCATTGCTCTTTCACATATTCATAATTTAAAATGTCTCGCCCAAAGGCACAACAACAGGGCTTTCTTGTTTTTAGCAGTTTTTTTTAAAATATACACAGTTTTAAGGTGTTTTCATCCCTGGCTCTTGCTGTCTCTGGGAAAAGTTCAGGTACAGATCAGTGAGAGCGACACATTGTTATATTCAAACTAGACTTTTATATCTTTTGACAGAGTTTTTTCCCCGGCATTCACTCATAGTCGTCATTCAGAACATATTAGTCTTCATATTCCCTTTCCTTGTGTTTTGTGACTTTATTTGCAATGACTTTTTCATGAATTTGAGACAGTATGATGGTTCGGCAGCATTGCATACTGATTTTTGCTTGAGGAAAATTAATAAAAAACATTTTTGGGTATTCCCTGGTCTGAACAGAGCATTTAATTCTTTGGATATGACCAAGTTGTGTAAGTGGGCCAGGGCAATACAGTGGGACTCATCACATTAAGTGTAATAGAAATAGTAATAATAATATTGATAATAATAATGATAATGATAATAATAATAATAATACTACTACTAATACAAATAATAATGATAATATTATACATAATTCTTAATAATTTTTTGTTATTGTTACAATACTCTTGATTTTATTAGTGTTATTAATATACATTGTATGTATACATTTTGCCTTTTTGGGCACTTAAGATGGCATTACAAATGTACAAAGTTAAAACAAAAAAAACAGTTAAAAGTATAAAGTTAAACATACTCCATTGGAATAGACTAACAAATAACTTGAATAATTATATCCTATGTGATCATGACAAACCAAAGTCACTGTTTGCAGAGAGGATGTCTAAGTAATAGCTGTTCTGACTTATGTGAGACCGAGTTGACACTGAATAAACATCTACTGCTCGGCGCAAGACGTATTATAAATATTAAGCAAAACACTCAGTGCTGATAAATTCTCTCTCACCCCACTGTAACAAATGGACTGTGATTATATACATATACAACCCATTATTCACTTCAATGGGGAAACCTCATGCATGATGGATTCATATTAAAATATGGACTTTTTTCCTTCTCTTGCTTCAGAGGTCTTTTGTATGAAAGCACTGTTACAGAACTCCCTACAAATCTTCAGAAATTTCCATAATTGTATTCAACAAAGTGATGAATTATTTTCTGTGTGCATCTGAAGTACAAAGACGTTGCGACAGAATAATCCTGAAAAAAATAATATAAGCATTTAGGAGAGATCTCTATAGTCAAAGGAATAGTTAAAGCTTAATTGCAAACCGAGTCTCTTCTCAAGACAAGGAAATTCTCTGAGGAGTTGTCATAAAGGCATAATAGAGATTTCATTTTCACTTATACGTACATTTCAAGACTAAGTACATTCCAATCTAAGAGTAGGAAATGTCAAGTTAAATTTTATGTTATCAAAAAACTAGAGAGAACAATAAGGTTGTTTTTATTCAAGGTTAGAGCACTTAACACTGCAATTTAGCAAGATACAATACAAGATACACACTGGCCATACAACGAGGACTGTACAACAAAATACAATACAAATCCATGTATGGTCATTTTCATGGTGCATGTCTTAAACAACAGTAAATACATATTTCAAAACTTACGCAATACAGTTACAACTCAGTACCAATTGATGTTTTGAATAACATTCACATTTAAATTGATAGAGAAAGTATATGCAAAAAGTATAAATTCAAAATGGCCAATGTCCAAGTAACTTTTGCTGATACTGCCGCTGGTTCACTGGCTTCACACATCGGTCTCCGGGGACAGAGTGTGTAACCAGGAACGCCAGATTTAAAAACAAACAAATGAGCAGTGTGTGGTGCGCTCGGACGACTGGATCAAGTCATTAGCTCAGCACACCTCCTCCGCGCTCTGGATAAAGCTGGGCAACAGACAACACGGGGATAAAAATAGGATGAGGCTCAATAAATAGACTCATGCTGGGTTTGATAAACAATCAGCCTTGTTTGTTCAAATGAGATAGGAACAGTCATGTAAGTGTTGTTAACATTATCATGAATCCGTGCGCTGTAGAAGGAGTGGACTGACAGAGTGCTGACATCATCCATTTTGTTTGGCTAAAGCGGAAGAAGCCCAAAAGAGCTAGCTTGACCAAAATCCGGAGCCAAATCATTTACATAGCAACGGCCTAGTAACCAAAAAGCCAATAAGGAGTGGCGCTGGCAAGCCAAATGTATCAGTTGTTAGGACGCATAACTGGATTACCAAAGACATAACACAAAAAAACAAGTCAGTAAGGTTTATTTATATAGCGCATTTTACAGATCAAAGTCAAGTGCTTTACAAATGTTCAGAGTTCAAAAATGTATTGTGATGACGGAAGCGAGTCGCTGAACACATTGGCGCATCAAAACCCCAACCAACACCATCCATTCTCTCACTCATTACATTCAGACCTATTGTACATGTTTTTAGTGGTAGGGAAAACCAGAGCACCTGGAGGAAACCTACGCAGACATGCAAACTCCACTCAGAAAGGTCCTGTTCCGACCGGGATTCGAACCCTGGACCTTCTTGCTGAGAAGCGAGAGTGGTATCCACTCATCCACCGTGCCGCCCATGCCATGCCGCTCAACAAAAAACCATGCTGTAACATAATTTGCTAAAGCATTGTGTATTTGATTTCCAACATGATCCTCATTGTACCCATCATAGTCTTAGCATTGCCCAATCTGAAATCAGAATCAGAATCAGAATCATTTTTATTGCCATGTAAGTAACAGGAGGTCACAGACTAGGAAATTGCTT